ATCCTTCTGCCTCCATCTCCCTAGTGCTGGGATTACAGGTGTGCACCACCACAAACAAGTTTTAAGCAGAGCTGGAGATGGATCCCAGGGCTTTGGCGTGCTAGGCAAGCAGTCTCAGCCACGGGGTTACAGCCCCAGACTCTATGGCTGGTTTTATCAGGAAGCCAGGTGCTTGCAGTTCCACAGTGAGCCATCCTGTAGGCCAGTTTGAAGACGCCATGTTCCCTTCATCTGACCCTGACACACATCTCAGAACAGTTACCCCATATTCAGGGGCTGGGGAACACACAACCCTTCCAGAAATACCTCACTGCCCCTTGTCACCCGGCCAGGATGAGCTGGGGTCTGCGGCTCTGAAGGCTTGCCTTTGTATAAGACCACCTCTCCAGCGGGCAGGGGGCCTACTCAACCAGAGCTGGCATGGTGACAGACCATCTCTAGGGACAGTAAACTGCCATCAGTGTAGCATCCTGGGATCACTCAAGGGGAAGGAGGAACCGCAGATGCAGAACTCCTCCGTGCCTTCTGCCAGGATTCAACAATGGACGTCTCTGTGTCTCTTAATAACATGAAGTCCCCATAGAGACATTTCTCCCAATTATGTATTCCTTGTAATGATGGGACACTCGTGTTTAGAATTTTTCTTTCAAGCTAAGAATGTATAAGTACGGGAGGTTGGTGTGGAATAAATAGCTTTCAATTATCTCCGTCACTTGTCAAACTTTTTAATGAGCATATTGTGCCGGTCCATGGAAGCCATTCGATTCTTCAGCCTTGCCCTGGCCTGCAGGCTCCAGGTGGCTCCCCAGACCCGACAACGGCAAACACACACTAGGTGTTGGGTAGACGCCGTGGCACGGAAGAGAGCGCCTCAGGGGAAATGCGAGGCGTGGGCTGAGAGGTCAAGCCTCTACTGCGTGGGCTGAGAGATCTAGCCTCTGCCGCACCACTCTGCCTCTTTTTTGTTTGTTTTTTGCTTTTTGAGACAGGGTTTCTCGGTGTAACCTTGGCTGTCTTGGAACTCACTCTGTAGACCAGGCTGGCCTTGAACCCAGAGATCCATCTGCCTCTGCTCCCGAGCGCTGGAATTAAAGGTGCGCACCACCACTGCCTGGCCTGTTCTGCATCTCAGAAAGGACCAAAGGCAAGATGTCTCCAGGTACATGGCACAGGGCCAGAAGCTACTACCTCCACGGACTCCTTTAGAGAGGAAGTTGGTGTAGATGGTGGAAGGTGTAGGTACTAACCAAGCCAGAGTCTATCCTAAAATCCTTTGAAAAGCACACATTATATCCTGACCTTGGTTCCTGGAACATTAACAGAGACTGGCAACTATCAAGGGCAGCCCTGGATTTTTCAGAGGAACAGGCTGTTTCTACCTCAGTTTGCTGTGTGACCTTGAGTTGTGAGGGACCCTCTCTGAGCCTCTTCCTTTCTGCATCCTACAGATAAGTAAGCTTCACTTAAGGGATTACGAGGTTGAGAGGAGACGAGCTTGTGAAGTGGCTGCCCAGTGATGGTGGATTAGTTCTTGGATGCTGGTCCGCCTCGCCTCAGGAGAACTGCTGACGTTGAGAACAGCCTTATCAGGATCTTCCAGGCTCGGGGCCAAGGGGCCTATCTCTCCGGCCCTTTTCAGCTGTCCACTATTAACAGATCCAAAAGCCCTTATCTCATCCCCCTTTTCCCTCTGGGAATTCTGGTCTTCACCTCACACTCCTTTCTGCTGCTCAGCACCTGAGAGTTGGTGGGAATGAGGAACCCTCTGTCTCCTCGGAGGTGGACTTGAGATTTTTTGTTTTTTTGTTTTTTGTTTTTTTAAAGAAAGGGTCTCACTAACTGTGACTGGCCTGGAACTCATTATGTAGACCAGACTGACCTCGACTTCACAGAAGTCCACCTACCTTTACCTCTTGCATGTTGGGATTAAAGGCATGCAACACCTAGTCTAACATAAACTCGGCCCCTGTTTTTAATGATGGATTAAGATTTTCCCTCTGTGGCCCAGCTGTCCTTGAATCTGTATATTCAGGGGATCTTCCCGCAGCAGCCTCCTGAGTACCCAGGACTGCAGGCTTGTGCAGGATGTATAGTTGAATATTTTGGGAGGATGAGCCTTGGCCTCTACAACCCTGGGTAGTATAATCTTTTAACCTACTAGGTAAACACAGTTTAATCATCCTAAAATGGGGCAATATTATGATCCCCCCCAGCAACCATCTTGATCCTTGACATATAACAGATGCTCAGTCAGTGTTTGTCGAATGACTATTGAGCAGCTTTTTCAAAAGCGAGTGTCATTGCTAATGGGTCCCCTGGGAAAGCCCAGAGAAAGGAAGTGCTCCATCTGGAACCAGACTGTGCCAACCTCTCGCCCCCCCCCCCCCCCCCCCCCCCCCCCCCCCCCCCCCCCCGTCCCATGTCAGTCAGTGTCTGCCCTGGTGGTGTTGAATGAGATCTAGCCCTCAGCTTTTCTGCTGTGCTGTTGGGGATGAGCAGCACAGATGTGGGGACAGGCAGACCCCAGGGCTAGGGATCCAGTGTGGGCCAGCTTCTGTCACTAGCTGGGCTCCTGAGCACCAGTCCTGAATGAGCCTCATTTCCCCATCTGTGCAGAAGCTCGTGTGCTCTCTTGGTCCTTCCCAGTTCTGACACATCCCAGGATTGGCAATGAGTAATTTCACAAACTGTTCTCTTGGTGTCTTCCAAAGCACCTCAGAGTCTATGGAAGACTGTCTAGTCCCTTATGCCTCCATCTCTGGAGAACTTGAAGAGACTGAAGCGAGGTCTAGGTGCCCGTCTTTTACAGGAAACTAAACTGAACCCCACCCTTGAGAGCTTCAGTGTGCTTGTTCTCAGACATGATCTCATGTAGCCCTGGCTGCCTATGTAGCCGAGGATGGACTGGAACTTCTGGTCTTCCTGCATCGACCTGTTGGGGTTACAGGTGTGTGTAGCTATACCCAGCTGTGGAAACTGTAATTTTTGGTTCCCTCCACATGTTTATTATAAAGATATATCAATTTGTTGTCAAAGATTCTCTGTCAAACACATTCTCTGGAATGGGCACAAGTGTCCCTTACGTTTTTTTGTGTAATATTTATTTATTTTTTTCTGTATATAGCCCAGGCTATCCTGGGACTTAAGCTTTTCCGGCCTTGGCCTTCTAAATGCTGGAGATACAAGTGTATTTCTCGAGAAGCTGCTTGCAAAATGCACATTCCTGAGCTCTCGGAGATTCTAAATTGGATCTGGGTGTGGAGGCACAGACCTGTGTGCAAGCACTCAGGAAGCTGAGGCAGGAAGAATACCTTGATTCAGTTTGGGCAACATAGCAAGATTCTGTCTGTTCAAAAAACAAAACAAAACAAAACAAAACAAAAAGCAAAAACAAAAGGTGAGCCAGCGTAATCCCAGCTTTTGGGAGACAGAAACAAATGGGTCTGAGTTCAAGGCCAGCCTGGTCTACTTAGGGAGTTCCAGCGCAGTCAGAGCTACAGAATAAGACCCTGTGTCGAAACAACAACCAAAATATAACAAAACAAACTCCCAAAATAAAAGACCCAAGAGGTGGTGGGGAGGGCTGGAGAAGGGTGGGAGGTAGGGGTCGATTCTAAATTGGCCAGGTTGGGGTAGCCCAAAGTTAAGAGATGCCCTATCATTTCAGAAGCCTTGGGAAATCACAACCTGCTCGTTGCTTCCTTGCTCACCTCTGCTCCCAGCCTCCATTTCTCTCATGAGAAATGGGTATGACAAGCAGCCCCTGCTAGGTCAGCCCAAAGCCGAGTGGTCAGAGCTGGGACAGAGAAAAAGTAGCATGGGGCAATGGAGCAAGGAACCCTGGGCTGAGAGCCCTCTGGAGGAAACCATGCTTACAGAGGTCTTGCTGTCAGTTACTCTGCTTGTGGCCACCCTGCCCCCAGTGCAGGAAGCTAGTAGGTCTTGTTAAACCTTTCACATCTGTTCCCAGTGTTGGCACGATGCCTAGCAGAGAGGACAATACTGGTCAGATGGGCTGACCTGAGCAATGAGAAACGGTGGAGATAGCCCAGGGCCTCAGGATTAAATGTGTGCACTCTCACCCCCTTGCGCTGCCCTGCCGCACTAAGTGAGGTCTCATGTGGAGATAATTTAATGGCCGATTCTCTTCACGTTGCAAGCTTTCGCTGTTTCTCTTTCCCTCTTTCCTTTCCACTGAAGTCAGGAGGTCTGCACTGAGGATGGGGCACCGAGCAAGCTCTCAGACATTTCTGACTTTTTAAGACAGGGTCTCACTGTGTAGTCCTGGCTGGCCTGAAGGTCTGCTTGCCTCTGCCTAACAAGTGCAGGGATTAAAGGCAGGCGCCAGTGTGGAGTTGGGCAAATGAATGAACGCAAACTGGGCGCTAGCTACTGAAGGAATTGCAACTAAAATCAGACTGACATCAAAGCCAAACGTCCCTGCCCACTTCCTGGCACCCCTCTTGTGCTTGGCTTCCAGGTGACAGGGATAGGGAAGAGCGCAGAGCTGTAAGCAAAAGGTTTTTAGGAGCGGAGATGTGGCGGAAGCGAGCTTCGGAGGTGAGCCTGAGCGCGCGGAAGAGACAGTTTCTGGAATCTGAGCTGAGGGGGTGGAGGCCACAGGTTGAGAGTCTAGGGGTCATGTGTCATGGGGGGGGGGGACGCCTGCGGGACGTGCAGAAGCGAGTACGAAGTTTGTTCCGTTCTCCAGTCCCAGCCACCCACGAGTGGGCGGTGGAGGGGGCGGGGCCCCGGCGCCCACGCCTCCAGGAGGGCACGGCAGGAGGCAGAAGGGAGACGGCGCCCCGCACCGCCCGGACAAAGCCTGCGCGCGCCCCGCCCCGGGATTGGCCGCCCCGCCCCGGGTCCCTCCCTCCATCGCCGGCCCCGAACGCTGCACCCAATGTCCTTCACCGGCGCCACCGCCGTCACAGCCGCCCCAGCCAATGGAGATGGCGCTCGGCGGCGCGTGGCTCTTTCGCGGCAAAAAGGATTTGGCGCGTAAAAGTGGCCCGGACTTTGCAGGCAGCGGCGGCCGGGGCGGAGCGGGATCGAGCCCTCGCCGCGGCCTGCAGCCATGGGCCCGCGCCGCCGCCGCCGCCTGCCTCCCGGGCCACGCGGGCCGTGAGCGCCATGGCCGTGGCCCCCGCGGGCGGCCAGCACGCGCCGGCGCTGGAGGCCCTGCTCGGGGCGGGCGCGCTGCGGCTGCTCGACTCCTCGCAGATCGTCATCATCTCCGCCGCGCCCGATGTCGGCGCCCCGCAGGTCTCCGCCGGCCCAGCCGCGCCGCCCGCCGGCCCCCGCGACCCCGACGTGCTGCTCTTCGCCACACCGCAGGCGCCCCGACCCGCGCCTAGTGCACCGCGTCCCGCTCTCGGCCGCCCGCCGGTAGGGACCCTAGGCGCGGGCGGGGGAGGGGCGGGCTGCAGCGCTGGGCGGTGCGGAACCTGGGCTGGGCCTCCGGGCTCCGCCCCGGGGCGCGCGGTGACAGACTGCCGGTCCCTGTTTGCTGCGCCTTGCTCTGGGCCTCAGCGTCCTCACCGGAGCGTCGGCGTCGTTGATGATAATGGTTCACGTGTATGCAGCTGGTGCTTGCTTAGTGCACGCCCAGCCTTTGGCACACTTAGAATTTCGGCCACAGTTCTCAACTCTGCTGTGAGCTGGGTGTTGTCACGTGCCCATCTGCCAGAGGGAGGAACTGAGGCCCAGACAGGGAAGTGCTTCACGCAGCTGCAGGTGGTGGGACAAGGATTTTAACTAATGTCTGCTGGCTTGCAGCAGGACTTAGGGCTGGGTGGTGAGCACGGTTGCTTGTGGGAGGTGAAGGAGCGTGACTGTTGGGGAGACCCCTCCTTAAGTGCCTCGATGTTGGATTGCCAGGTGCAGGCCTAGCCTTCCAGGCCTCTGGGGATAGGCCTCCTAACTGGGAGGCCTTCTCTGCAGGGGCGGGGCGCTGGGCCAGCTGCTGCAACCCTTCCTCTGCCTGTCCTTCCATCTGCCACCCTTCTAGCCCCTGGTTGCCATGGAACTTTAATCAGGCGGGCAGACCCTCGAGGCTCTGGAAGACTGGGTGGGCTGGGCCCCTGAGATCTATGGAAGGGGCCTCCAGTGCCTGGAGACGTGGGAGGGAGATCCCTGGATAAAGTCTCCACTTATCCCAGAACAGCAAGTAGCTCAAGACCAGTTTAGGCTGGGGGCCTAGAAAAGGCAGCTGAGTCAGTGGAGAGTGGAAGCTTGGAACGTGGATCCAAGCAGGGGCAGGCACAGGGTGTGGGCCACCAACTTTATTGTGGGGGTGGAGCAGACAGGAGGGGGGTTCTCAGCAGGGGGCTTGGAGCAAATGGGAGGGGCCGGGCCCAGAGTAGAAGCTGTTCAACTGCTGATGGGGGTGTGGGTGGCAGCTGGTCCCTGAGGCATCTTGGGAAGGCCCATAGCCCCCTTGGCCCTGTGCCCAGTGCTGCCTTCCTTCCGGAATCACCAAGATGCTAATAATAATAACAATAGCAGCTCGGATTGTTGCGAGGATGTTTTGTGTGCCAGGCCCTGTGCTAAGCACTTCATCCACTTATCCCTGTGGGCAGCCTTACTTTCTGATCCTTCTTAGAGATGGGGAGCCTGAGGCCCAGAAATGGTGGAACTTCCTCCAACCATTCGGCCAGGGAATGGTATTTCCTGATTGTTACTGGCCCTTCCTCCCAGTGAGATCTGGCTTGTTACTTGGTGGGTCAGCTAGCTTGCCTTACACTCCGGGGGGCCTGTGCTTGCAGATAGGAGCTTGAGGCCTGGCCAGGTAGTCTGCATTGGATGAAACATTCCCTTTACTCCAGCTGACTTTGAGTCCCACCATCGCATACTTGGTGCAGAGGTATTTAAGGGTCCCCTGCCCCCATGGTACTTAAGGGCCAGCCGACATTTTCTGTGGGAGAGGCTGACAACATCCTGGAGCCAAAGGCCGAGAATGCAAATCTGGATTTTGGCCTCTACTGACTTTGCTCTGGCATTTTGGGGGCAGTCCTTGAAATAAGCTACAGGCTTGGCTTCCACCCAGTAAGCACTTGCTGAATGCTTCCTGTGTACAGAACTCCATGCAATTCAGACATTCCTCTCTGCCCTGCCTACCTCTACCTTGTCATAGCTCTAGTGTATGGGTGTGGGTGTAGGTGTAGATCCTGTAGGGGGAAGCGAAGGAAGACAACAGAACAGCCTCAAGGCCAGCCAGGGTTACATAGTGAAACATTGCCTTAAAAGTAAATTAATTTTTAAAGATAAATGTGTTCAGGGGCTGGAGAGATGGCTTAGGGCATCTGGCTGCTCATCCAGAGGACCCAGGTTCAGCTCCCAGAATCCCCATGGCAGCTCACAACTGTCTGCAACTCCAAGATCTGACACCCTCACACAGACACACGCAGGCCAAACACCAATGCAAATAAATAAATAAATAAATAAATAAATACGAGCGTGCTCTGCTGTGACAGCTAGAGTTTGCATCCCAGCACCTACACTGAGGTCCCAGATGCCTGTATAACTCCAGCTTCAAGGGATTTGATGGTGTTTTCTGCCCCATGCCCACATTTTCATATACACTCAAACAAACACACAAATATCTTAAAGAGTAGATTAATTAAATAAAAATATATCAAAATGCCAAGTCTATCTTGGTTTATTGGCATATCTTATAATCCAGGCAGGCAAGGGTACTGACTCCTGTCCAGTGCCAGCCTACACTGAAAGACCTTACAAAGCTGGTAGCAAGAGGCTGAGTTTCCCATTATACATGTAATAACCCGTGTGCTGTAGGAAGTACATAGTACCCTGCATTAGGTCTGTGGAAAACAGTAGAAAGCCATTTATGGCCCAGGACACTTGTTTATCCCTGGCTGGTCACTGCCTGCTCCTGAGTGCTGTTGCAGATGGAACCCAGGATTTACGGTATGCTGAACAAGTCCACCAGTCCTCAGAATTTTTTTTTAAAAAATAGTTCTAAAAATTGGTGTGAGCCAGGTGTAATGACAGTTCCTACAAAGTAGAGGGGTAAGGTCAGGAGTTCAAGGCTTTCCTCGGCTGCCTGTCGTGCTTGAGGCCAGCCTGGGCTATTTGAAACCCATCCGTATTCACACAGTACGTCATCCTCATTGCCCTGGCTCTCCTACAGGAGTTGCTGTTTCTGAAACATGCTGTTAGAAGCTCAACTAGAGAACAGCCCCTGAGCTTTTTAATTCGGGAAGGGACTGTCTATATTAACCTGCCACAGTGGTCCCTTGTGTGTCTGTGAGCAATCTGCGTTGGCCTGGGCCTGCTCGGTATTTCACTGAGACTGCATGCTGTCCCAGGGTTTGCTAAGTGAGCAGTGTCTGTGACCCTTCTGTGGATAGCTGTTGGAGTCATGCAGCTGTGTTCACCAGTGAGCATCTTCACTGTCCTTTTAGGATCTCTGTGTTTGGGTTGTCTGTCTGTCTAGAGGGAGCGACAGAAACGGGCATCTGTTTGGCAAGGGCCAGCATGCTGGGAGAAGGCATTCCCGGCTAGCTTGTATATGGGGGTCTTGCTCCTGGGTGGGGCTCATGCAGCCCATTGGGGTGTATATCTTGAATTTCTCCCTGGCTACAGGCCCATCCCAAAGTGGAGACCACCATAGGCTCTGCTATCAGGCATTGGTGAGGAAATGCAGGGAAATGCCCTGCACAGACAGCATAGGCCATCTCTGCCTCCACACGTTCCTCTCTTCCTCATGTGCCGTCCTAGTCCTCGGCTCCCAGGAGTCAGTGGCAGCATGAGAGGGTGGGAGGTCTAGTCAGCACCTGTTGACTGGCATTGAGACACTGTCTGAGGTGGAGGGGTAGGCAGGAAAGACAGAAGCCGCTGCAGCACTTCCTGGATGTGGGAAAAGGCTGGGTTTGAGGCAGTACAGAGAAGGGTAACTTCTCTCTGAAGTGATTGTTTCAGGGGTCCTGCAGGAGGGTGCTCCAGGTGTGAGGAGGGGGCAGAGGGTAAGCCTGAGAGGCAGGGATCTTAGGCAGAGATGTAGAGGGAGACCAGGACGGGGACAGCTGGACCGCCGGGTGTGTGTGTGTGTGTGACAATGGCTGTAGGTAGCATTCTTGGCAAATGGAGGTGACAGGTGGTGAGCCAGGTTGAAAGTGGGTTCAGCTGAGAAAGGCCTGTGGCTAGTGAGAGGACAGCAGGCCTGGTCCCGTTAGGGTCTCCTGTCTGTTGGAGGGATTTCAGGATCCTTTTCCATCTCTGCGTGTCTAGCCTAAACTGGAGGGCATGGGGAGTAGCAGCTTGGGGTCCTTCTCAGACAGACCTGGGTAGCAATTGTGGCTCTGTCACTTCCTGACTGATCTTGAATATAGGTTGTTTGTGTCTGCAAAGTGGAGCCATTGTGGTGTTGCCGGTCCAAAGGCATCAGCTGCTGCCATGGTTATAGATAGATGTGCAAATGAGTTAAAAATTAGAGACGTGCCTTATTTGCCCTAGGAACCTTACCCTTCCTTGGTGGCTTATGTGGTCTCTGTGGCCAGGACTTGAGGGAGATTCAGCTGGCGCTTCTGGCCTGGTTGTAATAGGGAGGCAGGACTAAGGCTGAAGGGATTGCCTTCCAAGCTTGTGGTCCTCCTCACCTAGGGGAGCTCCCGGCTCTTGGCCAGCGGGGCTTATCTTTGGGGCTGGATGGCCATATGACACAGCAGCTTTTCTCCTGCCCCTTTCTGCCTTGTGGAAGGTCCAGGCCTCAGTGACCAGTCTCAGAAGTGACACCATCACTTCTGGCTAGCATTTAAGAGGAAGGAAGTTAGCACTTGTCTTTGAAAGAGGTATTGGAAGTAGCAAGTCCTGGTGGCCTGTGCCTGTAAGCCTATTATTCGAGAGGTAGAGGCAGGAAGAAGAGTGGTTTGAGGTCAGCCTGGGCTAAATAGTTGTAGGAACTGAGACGTAATCTCACAATGGTAGATTGTGTTAGTGTATGCAGGGCTCTCGTTTTAATCTCTAGCATCACAGCGATGCCTTGTTCTTGGCTGGTATACTGTGATAAACACCTGTTGAACCTAAAACTTGAACTCAGTCTTCAGTCTTGCGCTTGAATGATTTGTGTGGTAGGATAACGAATGCTTAGGATCTGTCTCTGCTCGCATACCTAGGCATCCTGATAGAGAAACTAGGACTGGAGTGCCAAGCCCTTAGCTAAGCCTTTTGTGTGGTCTCACTCCTGGTTACTGGGCCTTCTTGTGTTTCTGCTACAGGTGAAACGGAGACTGGATCTGGAAACTGACCATCAGTATCTGGCTGGGAGCAGTGGGCCATTCCGGGGCAGAGGCCGCCACCCAGGGAAAGGTGCTGGTTGACTCTTAGCTTCTCAGGCTCAGATTCGGGGGTGGGCATGCTCGTAGACTCGGGGGCCCCAGCAGGCAGCTGGAATGGCTGGCTGACATGACTTCCTCAGGCCTTGGAGGTGGGGAGTTCCCCAGCCACAGAGGAATGCTTTGGTTGGCAGACAGCAGCCACAGGGCCTTTCTGCTCGGCCTGACTAAGAGGAAGGAGCCCTCTGCCTCCCAGCTCATCTTGCCACTCTGTGGTGCTAGGGAGACAGGACTGTTGGGGGCAGGCTGCGTGTTTGAGAAGCCCTGCCTAGCCTAACCCCTGCCCCCCAGGTGTGAAATCTCCAGGGGAGAAGTCACGCTATGAGACATCGTTAAATCTGACCACCAAACGTTTCTTGGAGCTGCTGAGCCGCTCAGCTGACGGTGTTGTTGACCTGAACTGGGCGGCTGAGGTGCTGAAAGTGCAGAAACGGCGCATCTATGACATCACCAATGTCCTTGAGGGCATCCAGCTCATTGCCAAGAAGTCCAAGAATCAGATCCAATGGCTGTAAGTACTGACCAGTCAGGTGGGCTGGTGGCAGCCAGACCAGGCCTGCAGTGACTTCCTGCATTCGTAACAACTGGGAAATCAATGTCCGAGGAGAGGTGTCTTCCCTGGGTGATAGACGGGGAGGGACATACAGATCTAGCTCCCTATGGCTGTACAAGGTGTCCTATCTAGTAAACACACACACACCCGGTGAAGGTTCCCTATTCCCTTTCCCAGTGGTGCCCATTTTTGGGCCACTGTGCAACCATCATTCCAGCTTTTGCTGTCAACACGGAGGTCGGCCTTACAGCTGTTTTAGTTTTGTTACGACTTCTCCCTTGTGCCTCACTCTCTCCCCAGGCGTCCTACTAGCCTCTGTGGCACATCTGCCCTCTTGGTTTTTGATGGATCATTCTTCATTCTGTGTTATCTTGTCATTCTGTGGCAAGTGTGCGCTGTTGTTTTCTTCCCGGGCTCCTTGGTGGGGCTGTGTAGGTGTCTGCCGACAGGCTAGGCATTTTACTAAGCCCATGCCAGTCTAACTTGGAGCCGAGCTGGGGAGCCGGGGAGCGGAGCCAGAGAGGGGAAAGAGCTCGCCCACTTCTCACAGAACAGTGGCGGCGGCGGCGGCAGACTGCCTTGGGTGCCAGGACTGGTGGATGGGGGCCCGAGGGCAGCTGCTAACTCTTCTCTGGCTTCCTGCAGAGGCAGCCACACCATGGTGGGAATCAGCAAGCGACTTGAAAGCCTGACCCAGGACCTACAGCAGCTGCAGGAGAGCGAGCAGCAGCTGGATCACCTGATGCACATCTGTACCACACAGCTGCAGCTGCTTTCTGAGGACTCAGACAGCCAGCGATATCCTTGAGTTGGCAGGGGGCATGGAGGACAGGCTTGGCAGGTGGCGGCACCACACTGAGACTCAGAGGTTACCCAGGGCTCTGGATTCTAGGGTTATGGCTTTGGAAACAATGCCTGCCTCAGCATTGACTTGTCATAGCACCACTGAGCAAGTGACTTGGCTTTCATGGGCCTACGTTTCAACTGTAAAAGAGGATAGTAACCTTTTCCAAAATTATGCATATTAAAAAAAAGAAAAGAACTGGGTTGTGACACACGTACCTTTAATCCCAGCACCTGAGGGGCAGGTGCTCACTGTGAATTTGAGGCCAGCCTGGTCTCTAGAGTAGGTTCCAGGACAGCCAGGGCTACACACAGAAGTCCTGTCTTGAAATACAACAACAAAAAAAAAGAAGAAAGAAAAGAAAAAAAAAGGGCTGACAAGATGGCTTGATGAGTAAAGGTGCTTTTGGCCAATTGTGACCATCTGAGTTTAAGTCCCAGTGGAAGGAGGGAACTGACTCCTGTAAGCTGTCCTCTGACCTGCACATGTGCACGCACACACACACACATATATACCTATGGCATGTGTGTGTGTGTACACAAAGACACAACATAAGTAATAAGTTTTAAAATAAGTAATACATATTTAAAGAAGCCCAGAATTGGAGAGTTGGCTCAGCACTTAAGAGCACTTTCGTTTTTGCAGAGGACCCAAGTTCAATTCCTTGCATCCACACGGTGGCTCACAACTGTTTGTAACTCTAGTCCTAGTGCATCTGATGCCCTCTTCTGACCTCTGAAGGCAGCAGGTACACGCAAGGTACACACACACACACACACACACACACACACACACAAACACAGAAAAGTCCAGGTTGGGTGTGGTGGTACACGCCTTTAAAATCCCAGCACTTGAGGGACAGAAGCAAGTAGACACCTGAACTCAAGGCCAGCCTGATTTACATATTTCCAGGCTAGCCAGGGATACACAATGAGACCCTTTCTCAACAAAACAAAGATGTGTCCAGTATGATGGTATGTGCTTGGATCCCAGGGCCAGGTATGAGGCAGAAACTGCCACATATTCAAGGCCCGTCAAGGCTGTGTAGTGAGGCTGTCAATAAAAATAATCACAGGCCACTGGACTACACAGCGAGACCCTGTCATCAAAGAGAAGCGGTAGTACCAGTAATGACAAGCCTTTTCTTAGTCATTGATTTAGTGCCTGATTGTAGCTTCAAAGTTAAGACTTTAATTCACAAAAAGAAACTTCACGGCGGTGGGGAAGAGACAGAAATCTTTAATTAATTAATAAAGAAATAAATAAATTAAAAAAGAAACTTATTAGAATATGTATCTTTTTAGTAAATACCATTGATTAACAGCAAGATTGTCAAAAACAATTTCCATCTCCCAGCCTGGAGACTTGTCGAGCATTTTATGTGGAATTATTGCAGGCAGCCATTAGTTTAGAACTGGAGATGGGTAGATCTCTGTACAGATGTGGCAGTTGAGCTTAGGAGTGAGGCTCTGAGCACCTACTGTGTGCCAGGCTGTGGGATGAAGGAGTAAAAACAGGAGTGACTAGATAAGAATGAAACTTTATATGTGGGCTGAGTCCTGGGTTCCTCAAAGGTCAGTGGCCCTTGACTCCCCCAACCCTGGCCTATGTGACCTGCCAGGACCTTCGTAGCATAGCGGACCCTGCAGAACAGATGGTCATAGTGATCAAGGCCCCTCCTGAGACCCAACTACAAGCTGTGGACTCTGCAGAGGTGAGACTCGGGACCCCAGGCCTGACCAAGACAGGGTGGGCAGGGCTGATGGCCACCTGGACCTCAGTTTACCCTGCCTGCTGCCTCCGTGCAGACATTTCAGGTCTCTCTTAAGAGCAAACAAGGCCCCATCGATGTTTTCCTGTGCCCCGAGGAGAGTTCAGGGGGCATCAGCCCTAGGAGGACCCCATGCCAAGAGACATCATCTGGGGAGGACCGGACCTATGACTCTGGCACTGCAGGACCTCCACCATCACCTCCTTCCACATCCCCGACCTTGGATCCCAGCCAATCCCTGCTAGGCCTGGAGCAAGGTAGGTAGGGGCAGGTTTTGATCTCCTGTTTGGGCAGTCAGTCATGGCGGCCCCTTTGCTGTTGGGCCAGCTCTAACCTGTAATGCCTGCTTTCCCCAGAACCAGTATTGTCACGGATGGGCAGCCTGAGGACCCCCACGGAAGACCATCTGTCACCGCTGGTGGCTGCTGACTCACTCCTGGAGCATGGTCGAGAAGACTTCTCTGCGCTCCTCCCTGGGGAGTTCATCAGCCTTTCCCCACCCCACGAGGCCCTTGACTACCACTTTGGCCTTGAGGAAGGTGAAGGCATCAGAGATCTCTTTGACTGTGACTTTGGGGATCTGACCCCTCTGGATTTCTGACGGAAGCCTAGGCAGCCAGGGCGTCTGAAGATACCCACCCTGTCTGCAGCTTTGGAGCCTCCTGCCCTGGGCCATCCTTCCTGCCTCATGGAAAAGCACGATTCTTACCCTCTTCTCTGTGCAGTAGCTTCTAGCTCTGGGGTTTGGCTGCTGCAAGATGAGCAGGCCAAAAGGGGAAGAATTTTGTATGGTGTGTGTGTGCATGTGCACGCACATATACACCCTACACTGCGCAGTGTACATGGGGTATATTCTGTGTGTGTGCGTGCGTGTGCATGTGTGTGTGTACCGGGGAATGAAGGTGAACACATCAGTATGTGTGCTGCAGACACATCCTGGTGTGTCCACATGTGTGCATGAATCCATGTGTGCGCATTGGGGTGGGGGTGGGGCTCTAACTGCACTTTTGGTGTCCTTGCTGCAAAGGCCCTGTGAGGCCCAGGGTGGCTGCCTGCTCCCAGAATCCCGTGTCAGCCGGGCCAGGTGGGACAGCTAGCTTGGCCGGCTGGGATTGCAGAGCAGCAAGCGCACTGCTTAAAGGTTTTCCGATCGAAGCTTTAACGGAGCGTTTATTTATTTATCGAGGCCTCTGGCAAGCCCGGGGAATAAGCTAAGGGTGGGAGGGATATGGGGCTGATACCCCTACTTCCTATACTCTGAAGCAAGGGCAGTGTCCCATAGCTTTTTTTTTTTTTCTTTGCCCAACCCCAAAGGAGCTGAGGCCCAAGTAGTTTATTTATTGGGAAAGTGGGAGGCGGGAAACAGACTGACAGCCATGGATGGGGAGGTGGTTCCCTTTCAGAAGGTTGTGCCAGCACCCTAGCTGCACCCGTGTGGATTTGAGGTGGGAAAAGCGAATGAGGGCCTTCACTGACAGGGTGGACAGGAGGGTGGGTGTGGGGTTCTTCCTGTGTTTGGAGTGCCCCTCCATTATCCTCTCCACCCTCCAATCTGCACTTTGATTTGTTTCTTAACAGTTCTGTTCCCTCCTGCTTTGATTTTAATAAATATTTTGATGGTGTTAGGGCTGGGTTTGGGACTCTACACTGGTGTGAGGCTAGGGTCAGAGGGATTACTCCTTCCCTGTTCCTATTAAGTTCCTCTCCGTGTGTGACCACTTGAGAGGAAGAAAACTGACCCAGTGACTAGTTGGAAGCCATACATATTTCCTAAGTGCAGAAGGGGAGTGTTAAGAGTCGGCTTGCTGTGCGCCTTCCGGACATTTATGAGCATTAGTAAAGATGCAACAACATGGTGAACTGTATTGTGTCAGATGCTTTTGCGCGCGCGCGCGTGTGTGTGTGTGTGTGTGTGTGTGTACACGTGTACTTGCAGCATGTGTTCCTCCCTCTAGGCCTGTCTTACAAGTGAGAACACCCAAAGTTTCCTGGAAGAGGTGCTGGGGCTGAGATCTGGGAGAAGAGCGGTGACTTGGGAATCCATGACGTGTTAATTCTTAAATGGAAGTCCTTTGAGCAGAGCATCTATAATAATCTCGAGGGGCACCTGTTTTTATCCTCAGATACCCAGAGATAAGAGCTTGTGTGCTTGACCTGTTAAAGCTCCTGCCCACACCAGACTGTGGAGCTGCTAGTCCTGAAGAACTGGCAGGCTGTCGTTGCTAGTGACCCCTTACCCCACCCCTTGGGATGGCGCCTTACCCCACCCCCTTTGGAAGCCTCTTCCAGGCAGGGAAACCGAGGCCAGATGGGGCGGGGCCGCGCTTCGGCCAATGGGCGCACGCCCCGCCCCCAGCCAACCTAGGCGGCCTGGGAACCGCAACCCACAGCCTTGCGAGCCTCCGAGCCATGGCGTGCGCCGGGTTGCTCGCTGTGTGCTTGCTCCGGCCACCCGCGCCCCAGCCGCCGCGACACCCCGCGCCTGCCGCGGGACACGCGCTTTTCCAGGATGTGAGTAGGGCACCGGTGGGCGGGCACAGGGCTTCCCAGGTCTCGGTCTTCCGTGGTCCTGTCTCTCCCTCCACATCCTGTTGGTTATGCTTCGGTCCCTCTCCGATATCTGTGACCCTGCTGTTCTCATCCCCCTGCCTTTGTGTTCCTTATACTGTCTGTGCCGCTCCGTGTCTCTCCTTGTCTCCGCAATAGTGTTACTGTCCTCCACCCCAAATATGCCCAGTGGGGCTGGGGCTCTAAACACTCAGTCACAGTAGCCATCACCAACCTGCTGGGCTGATGGGACTTGGTAGCCTGGACCTAGAAGGAATCTCCGTCCTGCCCCAGAAGCCTCAGGCCTAACCGAGGGTGGCAGAGTCCTGCAGTTGGTAAGGGACTCGCCTCATGGGCAGCAGGTGGCATTAAAACCCCCTTATATGGCTTTAGAGCATCCTGACTGCCTCAGCCACTGCTCTAAGCCCCCTATGCCCTCCCCCTTCTTTTTTTTAACCTCTCACTGATATGCGCAGCTGGTCCTGGCCCTCTCCTGCCTCTACTCCAGAGGTCCTTGCTAGTGGGAGAGGCTGTCGTGCCCCTTCCCCAATGTCCTAGTGACTCAGCACGTTGACCATAGTCCTTCAGGCCTAAGGAGATACATTCCAGGTCACAGATGGAGTCAGGGGGCACACGAGGATGTAGATGAACGTGTCTTCATTCCAAGCTTAGCTCTCCTGTCCCAGCCCATCCCAAAGACCCCAGCTAGGCCACACTGAAGTGCTGTGTGACCCCAGTCTAGCAGTGGGCCTTCTCTGAGGCAGCCTGAGGGTTACATTGGTTGTTTAGACCAGTGACCCTGGGTGGAAGAGTTTAGCTTCCAGGACCCTGGCCTAGAGGGTTCGGTCCAGGCCATGAACTTGGTGCCCTTTGCTAAGCTGTTTTGGAGGACTGGTTCCTAATAGGGCAGGCACTGGAGAATGCTGCTATCTGCTTCATCACTGCCTCTGCAGACAAAGTCTGCTGACCCTAGCCATCTTCCCTGCTCCTCATGCAAATGTGTATGCACAGATCCCAGCCTTTGAGATGGCCTCTTCCCCAGTCCTGAAAGGGTTAAACTCCCTCACTACTAGTGGGAAAACCAAAGCACCCACAGAGGGCTAGCCAGTGGCTGCCAGTCTTCGACAGGCACAGGAAAAGCCTACTCAGTGAGGGTGGATGGAGAATGGACTACAGGAGGGCACGCAGAAGAGCCAGGGTGCAGGTCTGGTGAAGCTTTCACGGCTCCTCAGGACGGATCTTGGGCCATCTGTTCAAGCTTCCTCAAGCTGGGACCATGCCAAAGGCTGAACCATTAGAGGGAACTCAGGCTAGACTCCAGCTGTGGGAAGTGGAGGTACAGAGAGCTGGCCAGGAACACCCACCCACCGTGAAGTTGCCCTGCAGCAGGAGGGAGTCAGCCTTAGGGCTTGCTGTGCGATCTTCCTGTGGTACCTTGCTGGAGACTCCGGCAGTACTGCCCTAAGCTGGAGATGCAGGGGAGCTGGCTGTCCAGCTGGGGCCCCATTGGCTTGGGAGGGGACTCCTACCTCTCTGGCTCCACTCACAGCACCCTCTTATTTCCCTTTGGCCCTTAGGTTTTCCGCAGAGCAGACAAGAATGGTGAGTGTGGCTTCTTCCCCTCTGGTCCCACAGCCTATGTGTGCGGCGGGGCATGGGGGGGGGAGTGGGGTGGTAGGAGAGCTAGGGAGTTATAGCCTAGAGTGAAGTCTTGAGACTCCCAAGTGAGAGATAAAGCTAGGGACACTGCCTGGAGAACAGATGGTGTGCAGAACAGGGAACAGAGAAATATGCTTTGACCTGAAGCTGGAGCTGGGGGCTTATGTTTGACCCGAGGCTGGAGCTGGGGGCTTATGTTAAGCAGTACTTTAGCTCCATGATGGGTGCTTGTATAAGACCTTGTAAAGCCTGTACAACAGCTTGCGAGGTGGGGATTCCTCACTCCATTTCACAGGGAAGGAACAGAGGCTCAGAGGAGGACATCAGTTGTCTAACCCTTTAAGTAGTGGCCCTGAGACCCAGATCACCCTAGGCTCCCTGGATGAGGTGGTGGAGCGCCCCATTCAGCCTTCACTTTTCTTCCCCATGAGGCTGCAGATTCCTGTGTTTCAGCTTCCTGGTGTCCCCAAGTGCTTGTCCTTTTAGGAGCCTCTTCAGATTGATTTAAGACACATGCTCTCAGTGCATGCTCTCTGTGGCAGAGGCCCAGGCCCCACCCCCATCTTTGCTTATCACTCAGACCAAACCCCATCATCTTTAACCATCTTGTTCTGTTCTCTGCCTCTGCTTCCATCCCCCTATGCCAGGAAGCTCATTCTCACCCGAGCCAGTCTGCTGCTTTGTAGAGTCTGTCAGAAGGCTTCGCTTCCTCCCCTGTGACCCTGGGGCAAGGCTAGTTTATGGGACCAGAGACTGTGCCTCTAAGTCCTGAGCCATGCTCTGGTGTGTTCCAGGTGGTTCTCTCATACTTCCATTTGACAGATACCGAGTCCCTACCAAATGTATCCTGTACGAAGTGTCTCCTTCAGCATATACTTTTGGGTACTCTTGTCCTTTTGTCCAAAACAGTCAGGGCCACCACTAAGGCCACCACCCTAGGCTATCTGACTGAGTGATTGTGAATGCTGCCAGGCCTTTGGGGAACCTGAATTTGGGGGCAGGATACAGCCAGGACTCAAGGATACCAACTCTATGCCCTGCCTCTCCCCAGACGATGGGAAGCTCTCCTTTGAAGAATTCCAGAATTACTTTGCTGATGGGGTTCTCAGCTCAGTGGAGCTGCGGGAACTGTTCAGCGGAATTGATGGGCACCTCACCGAGTGAGTCCAACCTGGCCAGGTTGTCCCAACCTGTGTCCCCTGCTATCACGGCTCCTTCTGGAGGCAAGGGGGTGGGGAAAGACGTCAGGGCTCAGAGCCAACTTTATCCACCCACCTACACCCTCTTCAGCTCCAGCCTTGTTGCTACACTGCTTCCAGCTGGGACCCCAGAATAACTAGGCTTGACTCACCACCCGTGCTCAGCGCCTTCATTCCCATGCAGAGGATGTCCGAGGACAGCTGGGTCCTGCCTGCCTCCGCCTGTGGATGCAGGTGCAGGAATACACATCTTCCCATGTGTCCACATACACACATCTGCTTCAAGTAGACACTCCTTCCCTGCCTCTTGACTTGGGGACACACACGCCATGAGCGTGCAGAGCAGCTCCCCTCTCCTCCCATCCCCTCCCTTCCTTCCTCTTTTCCTTAGTGTGTATGTCCCAGACTAGATCAGCATTCAAGGCTTCAGAGGCTTGGACTGACCCCTTTGAAGTGCCTGTGCCCCTCCCCCACCAAACAGATGCCATGCCAGGCTATGTAAACTGGCCGGGGACACTGGCACCTACGTTCAGTTCACAGGCCCAGGTTCTAAGAGTCTGAAGAATGTTTTCTTTTTCCCTCACAGCAATTTAGAGACAGAGAAACTGTGTGGTGAGTAGAGGCCTATGCTGGCCCCTGTGTCCCAGCCCCTGGGCAGGCGGGTGTGGTGAGGGTACTGTGGGGTAGGAAGCCAGGGGCAGCTGAGGAGTTCCAGGCTGGAGAGATGGTGTGGCTGGAGCCCCTTTTCTGCCTACAGACTATTTCTCCAAACACCTGGGCGTCTATCGGCCTGTGCTGGCGGCGCTGGAGTCACTGAACCGTGCGGTGCTCACTGCCATGGACACAACAAAGCTGGTAAGTGCAGGGAAGAGCCCGTGGGGAACCTGCAATGATGGCTCGCTGCAGTGGGACTCTTCCCTGTCATAGCTCAGGGCTGTGGAAAGGAGCTGGGATTCAGACTCGGGTATTCCCACTTAACAACAGCCCTTTACTCCCTGATCCAGTTTCGTCATCTAAAAGCCAGAGGTGATAATGAAGAATTAAGTGGGTCATGGTGGCTCACACCTGTAATCGCAATACTCAGGAGACAGAGGGAGGAAGGTTTGCTGTCCGTTTCAGGCCAGCCTGGCTAGAGTTAGACCCTGTTGGGGGAGGAAGAGGCAGGGAGCTAGTGTTTTGTCCTTTGCTCTATTCCCAGTACCCAAAACAATTCAGGCAACATAGTAAGTTTTTGTTGACCTGATGTAATTGCTGGGGGCTGTCAAGCCAGGACCTAGCAGGCATGGGCTAGGACGTAGGAGATGAGGTGATTCATGTCCCCAGGTACATGGAGCCTGTGAGGCAGGGCCTAAGCCCAGGACATGTGAGAAGGCAGGCGTCTATAGATACATGTACCTGTTTGTTGGCCTATATTATAACCTGTGCAGACAAGTGTTGACAGCCAGGGCTCCAGACCCTTAGTGATCAAAACCAAAACAAAACAAAATAAAAAACCACCACCCCCTTTATGTGTTAAGCTAGGTGGTAGCTTACACTTTTTCTTTTTGGAGACAATTTCCCTTGACTGTCCTGGAACTTGCTCTGTAGACCAGGCTGGCCTTGAATTCACAGAGAGCTGCCTGCCTCTGCCTCCTGAATTCTGGGATTAAAGGTGTGCACCTCCACTGCTTGGTGGTGGTTCACACTTCTAACCCCAGCACTTGGAAGAGGCTGGAAAGCTTGAGATGAAACCCAGCCTGGGCATATAGCTGAGATCCTGTCTTAATAGAGAAAAACTCTCCCTTTCCCCATGTCCACGGCTCTTCTGGAGGTGGGTTGAGCAGGCCTGGGGCTTTTCCCAACTATCCTTATTTTGATACTTGAGGATAGACCCTAAGGCTTTGTACATGCTAGTCACTGCCCCCCCCCCCCCCTCTACAGAAAAGGGAATGCTGAGAGCTTCAAGTGAGGGGCAGGGCTTCTAGGTCCCTCATATTAAGAGTTTTTTTTTTCAAATGTTCTTTGAGCCTGGCCCAGCTTGGGGGGGGGGGGGGAGCTGACATTCTCTAACCATGTGGTGGTTTGGGTTTTCAAATGAAAGCAAAATGAGGGTCAGGGTTAGCCCAGAAAGGGAAAAGGGCAGTCCACCCACATATAACCCTGCCAGCTACAAACACTTCAATCTGTTTATCTGGTTCTCCACGCTAGGCCAGAGTTGCCTCCTCTGTTCCTGCAGGGCCCCTGGTGTCACCAGTCATTCTGCGTCCATATAAAACTCAATCGAACACTTCTCGCACCAGAAAAGGGCCATACTCCTCGTACATGGCCCGAGTCATCCAACGGCACTGAAAAGAGTTCAGGGAGGCCATCATGGAACCTCCAGTCCACACAGCTGTGCCCCGCCCAGGCTGAGCCACCAGACAGGGCCGCAGGGCCGGGTACCCATGCCTCCGGCACTGTGCCTCTAGCTCCAGGTTCATGCGCTCCACAAAGCCCGGGAAAAGGGTGGAACCACCAGCCAGCACCACCGTACTGGCCAGGCGTGTCCGCAGTGTTGAGGGAATCTTCTGCAGTGCCTGGAAGGCCAATGTGGGCAGTCCTGGCTCAGGGTGGCCTAGGAGACTTGGCTGGAAGAGGGGTTCAGGGCAGCGGAAGCGCTCGCTGCCGAGGTACACGTAGCAGCCCTCTCTCAGGCAAAAGCAGGCCCTCTGGTGGCGGGCAGGGTCACAGATATCACCCTGGAAATCTAGGGACACGTAGCAACAGCGCTTCTTGAGCTGTGTAACGGTCTTGCGGGGCAGAGCCTGCAGCTGAAGATCAGGGCACGCCGCCACCAGCAGGTCTCGAAAGTAGCGCGACAGGGTGCTACCTGCCACATTCAGACGGAAGGTGGCCTTGTGCCACGAGTGACCTGCGTAGACGGGGGTGGCGTGGCACACTCCTGCCCCCGCCTCCACAGCCAGCCCACTGAACGCTCCGGTGGAGCAGAGTGCCAGCAGTGCCGTGCTGGCCATGTGGCACGCGGGCACAGCCAGGGCCTCGAACAGCAGCTCGGCCACCTTTTCTCGGACCTCCGGTGGTGCTGATGGCGAGTCGCTCACTAGCACGGGCCACTGCTCGGGGCGGACCTGCAGGCCTCCCACTATTAGACGCTCCCACAGTCCCTCCAGTGCGTCCCAGTCCACCACCACGCCGTGCTTGATAGGGTGCGCACGCGCCACGCCGCCTGCCAGCTCGCAGCCCGGTGCTCCAGGCAGCACTGGCCGGTCCCAGCTTGGCATCAGACTTGAGCTCTTCAGCACAATGCGCGGCTGGAGCTCCCCGGCGAAGCCTGCCTTAGTGAAGCCGGAACCTTGGTCTACCACCACCGCAACGTGATCCAAAGAAGGGAGCCTGTGGACGCGGCGGGTCCTGGGCACCGACGCCACCTTCTGGGCTCAGGGTGCCCCGAAGCCCTGTGGGCCTTCTGGGCGATAACCAGCCCTCAGTTCTCAGCTCCGCCTCTGGCTACGAGGTCCCGCCTCTTAGGGCGGTGGTTCTTTTTTTGGCTCCACCCCAAAGGGGGGTGTGGCCCTGCTGTTAGTACTTAATTCCTCCTTAGGGTCCTAGAGTCTGGGCACGTCACCTAGCTTGACTAGAGAGTTACCTCGCTGTGGAGGTGGAAAGGAATGGTTCGAGAAGAAAGGAACTTAGATTGGGCTCATTGTGACCTCAGTCTGGCCGCGCAACTCCCACCCCCTTCCTCCTGCACAGGGCTGATGGCAGCCATTTGGGATCCCATAATAGGGGCCTGGGCTGACCAGCCAGCCGATTCTTTTCCCAAACGCTTGGAGTATCTGTGTACTCGGGCCACAGTTCTAAAGAGAAAGCTCTCAACCAAAAATCTAGTTACAGTGAGAACTTCCCTGTGCTCAACCTTACAGCCACACGGAGGTCTAGTCTGACCCCTTCAGCTCTGAGGCCCACATAACCACCTAAGCAAGCCCAAAATCTTTGTAGTGTTTCTTGCTCCTAAAGGTAGCCACGAGTCTCCCTCCTGGATAGACTATTCTCTTTAGGATCATTTTGGTTATAAATAGAAGATTCAGATGCACTTGAGCTAAAAATAAGGACTATATGGATACTGGATGTTTTCTGGATCACAAGGGCGGATACTGGATGTTTTCTGGATCACAAGGGCGGGAAGTCTTAGGAACAGCATGTGACCATAGGGTTGTGGTTAACTGCTAAGGTCTCTTAAAGTTCCCATTACAGTCCTGGAGAAGGGCATAATAGAGCCAATTTGGGGCAAGCGCACAGGTGCTGAGAACCGTGTGACGGGGCAATTAACTCTCAGTAGGTACTATGTTCTCGACATGTCCACAGTCTGTCCACAACTTATGGTTCCAGTGGCTTGAGACCTTCATCCTGCTACCTCTGGTCCCAAGGGAGCCCTTCTGAGTCAGTCATCAATGTGTGGCAGGAAAGACGACTCAAGAGTTTTTGTTTCCTGAAGCAATCTGCTGCACTGAGCTCAAGATCCTCCTGCCTCATCCTCTTGAGTGCTGGTATTACCTCAGCTGCCTACAACTGGAGATGGTAGCTTTAGGGTCTGTTCTGGAAGCTGGGTGTGGGATCCAAGAAAGCCAGCAGCTGGCTTCTCCCCTAGCATGCTGCTTCTCTCAGGAATGATACGAGGAGTGAGAATGACTCTGAAGCCCACTGGTGCCACGAAAGTACGGAAAAAACAGGTGGCAGGAACTGAGGGTAGACAGGCTGGGGAGATGGACAAGCACGTCCCAATTTTAGCCTTGGGCTTTAGTGGGGCTAGTGGAGAAACACTGGGCAGTGGTGGCAGGGGAAATGAACTGCCTTAGAATCGCGGTTTGAAAGAAGCTTTGGCTACATGTGGGGTAGAGGATGAAACTTGGTACCTTGGGAGAAAAGTGCTTTGACCTGAAAATTTGGGGAATTGAAAGCTTGGGAGTTACTGATCACTCGCAGGCAGGAGACAGACCAGAGAGGCTCAAGCCCTTTTTCTTTTGTTTTGTTTTTCGAGACAGGGTTTCTCTGTAGCTTTGAAGCCTGTCCTAGAACTAGAACTAATTCTTGTAGACCAGGCTGGTCTCGAACTCGCAGAGATCCGCCTGCCTCAGCCTCCCGAGTGCTGGGATTAAAGGCGTGTGCCACCACTGCCCAGCTCTAAAACCCTTCTTGAGTGTTTTGCCATAGGTGGACGCTGTCGTTCTACACCACCATGGTTGACTAGCCTCTCTGTTCTTCCTGGTATGATGTCTGCTAGGAGCCTGGGACCCTCCCTCCGCCTATGAGGGATTTCTGAACGTTGAGGACTCTAGAAGACCTTTGGTGAAAACAGGTTATCCCAAGCGTAGCCAAGTATAGATTGCTCAAGTCCAACTTGAGCCTGTGGGTCCGGCATGAGCTGACTTTTGTGCCACAAAGATAGGTTAGGCGCAGCTCTAGCTCCAGGTCGTGGTGATGGCTCTGCTTCATTCCTACTCACTGGGGGACTCAGCAGGGACAGAAGTGGAAGTGGCCCAGGTTGCTATGTGCTCTTTATTGAGCGGAGTCCTAGCGCGGGGGAGCCGTGCCAAGCACTCAGGACCGCGGGCGAGGGCAGCGGCGCCGCTTGCGCGGCTGCTCCTCGCGGGGGTCGCCTTCGCTGCAGACCTCGTGGTGGGTCAGCAGTTGAGCGTACAGCGGCTGCCAGCCCTGCTGGGCCTTGGCCCCGCCCCCCCGCCCGCCAGCCGCGCGACGCCCTTCCTCCTGCAGCCGTGCTTCCAGCTGCAGCAACAGCACCAGGATCCTTTTCATCTCCCCGGCGCGCGCGCCTTCGCGCCTGTCCACGCCGTCGCCTGCGCCACGCAGCATGGGCGCCACCGCTGGGAAGCATGTCGGGGCGCCGAGCGCATCCTCAGCCGGCCGCCCGGGCCGCGCACACGGGCACGCTGCTGCCTCGGCCAGCTGCTGCCGCTTGTCCAGCGGGAAAAGCAGTACGATCTTGGTCTGGGGGTGGGCGGGTTGTGACGGGAAGAACGCGCCAGGGCAGGGCCTGAAGTCACTCCCGTGCCTCTGGAGGACCCAACCTCCCGAACCCCACGGTGCCATCAGGGCCGTTCACCCCGCACCCCGGGACTCTGCCTCCTCACAGGAACCCATCGTCCACCCTTGGCCCATCCACTGCGTACTTTCCCAGCCTTGATGCGGAGGTTCTCACCCACCCGGGCGGAGTCAGGGGCCTCACGCCATTGAAAGAAGGGGAAAGTGATGTGCTGTGAGGCTGTGGGCTGGAGAGAGGGAGTAAAGGATAATCCATGTCTGGGACCCCAGCGACACCTATGCCTTTGGCCTCACCCCTGGATAGAGAGCCCCACTTTCTGCCCTTGCTTCTAGGGCTCCTATACCACCTATGTGGGCTTCAGAGACTCTCCACCTCTAAACAGATTCTCTAAGTCCTCTCATGCCCCTGGGTCTAAAGGCGCAGACTCCAGCACCCGGTATCCCATCGGGTCTCCTCCCTACTCACACTTGGCTTTTTCCGCTTGAGGTGGCTGAAGAACTGCTTGTGACGGGCCTTGTCCATGTCAGGCGGCCTGTCCTTGCTGGCCTGACTGGGTGCTTTGGTCCTCTTGTGGGAAATGCTGTTTCCCATGGTAGGACTGGTCACTAGAGGCCACTGCCCATGCTGCCTCGGCCCTGCCCTCTACCCAGGGGTCCCGTTTGGCCCCGCTCCAACAAGTGAACTGCATTGTGAGCTCACAAGTGACCTCATTACACCAAAGCTGCGTTCTTCCCCTGGACCGCCCCAGCTCCGGAGAATCTGGCCTCTATTCATTTTCATGACCTCTTCTGGGCTCAGCTTCCCAGCTGCAAAACAGGGCTAGTGCTTTAACCAAAGAATGCTTAGAAGGTGCTTAAAGGTGCACAGAGGGGAAATTTGAATCTTGGCCTGCCACTAATTAGGTGCTTAATCTTGGCCAAGGTTCAACCAACCTCTCAAGGCCTCAGACACGGAGTAGAGTCAGCTATGGTTCCTACAAATCATGACGGGTAAACGAGATTCTGGGGAGGAGTCTGGTGTGGGGTGGGTGGTCACACATAGCAGAAAATTCATCAGTCCTCGTGTACCTCCAAAGGGAAGTTACTGAAAAGGGGTGGCACCGAAACAGGTCCCACAGACTTCAGGACAGGAATCGGGCACTAGTCCAGCCCTTTTGTTGTAAGCCTGGTCCACAAGGTACCATCTGGGTTGAGCCAAGGCAGGTGGTAGGCAAGCAAAGCCCGTGTAGATGTTGCTGTGGAGCACAGCTCCCCATGGCTCCCCAGGACTCCCACCGTAGGTTCGGGTGTGTGGTGGGGGTGAGGGCTTCTCAGGGCATCCTGACTGGTCAGGTAAGTAGCTGAGCAGATTACTAACAGTACGGCCCACAACAGTGGGGGCATTTTCAGATTGAGAACTCTGACTGCGGGCACTAGGCTCAGCCCTTTGTAGCAAGTAACGGAGGGGAGCCTCATTCAGTCCTGTGGGAGAGATGGAGGCACACGATGAAAGCAGTTGAGGAGAGTGGGTATCCCAAGATGGTTGGCAAGGGGCCTGATGCACGGGCAGCCTGTCTCTGCCTACCTTCAGGGAACTGAGGGAAGGCTGGTAGTAGGGGCTGGGGTCAGTGCAGGCAAGTGTGTTTGTGTCTCTTCAGGGGCCTGGATGTCTTGTATATGTAGCGTCTAGAAAAATCCATGCAGCAAACGTTGGTTCCAGAGATTGGTGAATGGAATAACGGAAGAGCAAACACACACAGCACACACTGACTGTGAGCGGGTCCAACAGGCCCGTAAGAGGCCCAAGTGTAAAAGTGGCCTTACTGCCCTGTACCTTTACCCTGCCTGGCTGTGCCCAGGAACATCACTGGCTGTGGCAAAGATGAGATTAACAGAGAAGAGAAACTGAGATCCAGGAAAAGCAGTGTAGTAGTGGGCTGTGATCCTTAGGCGGCAGCTCCGTACCTGCCAGGATGAAAATACCCCAGCCTGGACCAGGAAAGGGGCCCTCAGAAGCTGGGCACACTGGTGCCCATTTTTAACTCTAGCACTGGGAAGGTGTAGGCAGGAGGATCATGAAGCTAAAAAAGACCCTATCTCCAAACCAAACTAGAAAGTGAGTTTCTGCCTGTGCCGGGCCTGCATGCCCTGAACCTGACTTCCCCTGCTACTCCCGTGAGTAAGACATAGGCAGACAGCAAGGTAAGCACCTTCTTCAACCAAACCTCTCTCCCTGCCCACAGGAGTACGAACAGGCCTCCAAGGTGGACCAGTTTGTCACACGGTTCCTGCTTCGAGAAACTGTGAGTCAGCTACAAGCCCTGCAGAGCTCCCTGGAGGGGGCATCAGACACCCTGGAGGCCCAGGCCCGAGGTCAGCGGTACGTGAGAGGGCTCTTGGCCTGTGGTCTGGTGTGTGCCTTTTGTTCTTGCATTCCAAACTCCTCAGTTCCATGGTCTACCCAACCTCTTAGACAGGAAGGCCATGAGTTGGGGACTGGGATTCAAAGACCCAGGAGATCTGCCTTGCCCCACCTAAGCTTGGTCCTGTGCTGGAATCCTGGTCTTGACCCTGTTGTGACTCTGGGGATAGCAGGCTGACCTTCTACTTTCTAGGTTGAATGAAGAACACATTCAAGTGCAGAGCAGGTCCCGTAGCAGCCGGCGGGCGGGGCGCAGAGCCCTGAAGAACATCAGCTGGTCACCAGCCTGGTCTCCTGGATCCTCTGATACAGGTGTGCTTACGGCAGGGTAGGATCTGGCTGCACAGGGTCCAGGGAAGATGTGCCATCTCCTATTCTCTTAGGGCTTTGCTCCGCCACTGTTCCCAGTTTGCCCTGAGAGGACTCCCAGCTTCCGGGGCCCCTGGCTGATATCCTCCTGGTCCCCCTATCAGGGTGGACTTCAGAGGCTGAACTGCAGTGGCGGCTGCAGGTCAATCGCCTCCAGGAGCTCATAGACCAGCTTGAATGCAAGGTAAGCGGCTGGGTGGCCGGTGCCCCTTGAGGACCTGCCCATGCCAATACATGTGAGGCTTGACCTACATTCTTTGCCCTTTGCAGGCACCCCGTCTGGAACCCCTGCAAGAGGACCTTGCCAAGGGGCCTGACTCGGTGAGCTTGGGAAGGAGTGCTCATGAAGAAGGGTAATGGCTGTCTACTCGGACCTGGGAGGCAGGTGCTGGGTTCTGGTTCTTGCTCTATGACCCCCTTAGGTTTTCTGCTCTCTCATCTGTATCTCTGAAAGTCAGGCCTAAGGTAGGAATGGAAGCGAGAGGGCACAGTGGGAGGTGGTACCACAGACAGGGTCAGTGGCTTGGAGGATGGAGTCAGAGATGCTGGGAGGTCCTGTCGGTTGTGGGAACCTGACCCCACAGGGTGCAGATCTGAACCATATTAGGAAGGGTGAGGTCATAATCTGAGCCTAGCTTACCCCAGTGACTAGCTGCTCTCTTGCCAGCACATCCTTGTGGCGCAGAGACAGGTCCAGGTGGCAGAGGATGCCCTGCAGGATTTTCACCGTGCCCTGTGCTGCTACATGAACTTCACAGGGGCCCAGAGCCATTGTCTACAGTGAGTCGCTGGCTAGCTAGTGGGATGTTTGAGGCGGGGAGGGGTAAGCAGGAGGGATGGTGAGCTGGGTAATCTGGGCAAGGCTCCCATGAGATCCTTGTCAGGTAGTCAGTGGTGGTCATAGCCCTGGTCCAGCCTAGCTACCTCTGGCTCTGCAGTGTGTCTGCCCAGAAGATGCTAGACCATGCTGCCTTCACCCTCTATGAGTTCTGGCAGGATGAAGCCTCCTGGAGAAGGTGAGTGGTGGTTTAACAGCTGACACTGACTATGGGTTCTGGAGGGGTTCTGACTAGGTCCAAGTCCTACCTTCCTGTTCTCTGGCTGTGTGACTTCAGATAACTTACCTAACTCATCTGAGTCCCAGATGAGATGATGTATAAAGAATGAATGCAAATTAGGTATTGAGTACATGCCTGTTATATCAACACTGAAGGCAAAGGTAAGAGAGCTCGGAGTTTAAGGCTAGCCTGGGTTACAAAGCAAATTCAGCAAAGCCCTGTTTCAGAACAAAACAAACAGACAAACAAAAACAACAGATAGTTAACACAAGTTGGCCATGGTGGCACAAACCTAAACTCCCAGCACTTGGAAGGCAGAGGCAGGAGGATCAATGATTTAAGGCCAGCCTGGACTATATAACAAGACCCTATAAAACAAACTCAAAGAACTCAAGACAATGCCAGGTGCAGAGCAGGTACTCCGTGAATGTACACTGTTGTCAGTGTGTGCCCCTGTGCTGGCAGTAGTCTAGTGATGTAGGTACCTTGTTCCCATTTTACCCAGGGGGAAACTGGAGGCTAGAACAGTAGAGGAAGGGTTGGTGCTTGAGTCCAGGCAGCAGGACTAATGTTGGGTAACGAGAGCAGAGCACTGATCTCAGAGCAGATGGCTGCAGACTGTCTCTTCCATGGCCCTCCCAGGCACCAGCAGTCACCCTGCAGCAAGGCCTTCCAACGCACTCTCATCGATCACCTGCAGGCCCCGGACACCCTCACCACTGTGTTCTTCCCAGGTGTGTTGTCCCCTGTGCTCCAAACAGCTCTAGGACCAGGGGGGCAGCCCCTCCCCCAGCTCCTGACCTCCCAACCTCTCACCCACAGCCTCCTGGTGGATTATGAATAATAACTGAGTCGGGTCTGCTTAAGCTGGTGACTCTGCAGCATGGCCCATCACTCTAGAGCCTTCGGCACTGGTCAACTCTACACTAAGACCAAGAAGCCTGCCTGTTCTCAGGCTAAGGGCTGATCAGCTGGTAGAGGGGCTTAGCACAGGGATCAGGGACTGGGTTGCCTGCTTATTTATTTTGCTGTTTGTAGCTTCCAAGCACCTGGGCTTCTGCCTGACTTGGGAAGCCCAGATCCTGGTTCCCTTGTCCTCTGTCTTGGTGTGTGACCCACCAGGCAGATAGATCCCTTCCCTCTCTGGCTGCCTAGGAGTGTCCTGCTTTCTGTTTGTTGTTTTGGAGTTAGGTTTCTGTTCTTCCTCAACCAGTGGCAGAACCAGGGCTGATGCTCAGGGACCCCCTCAAACCCTGGGACCTTGACCCTTGAGGCTAGGCCAACTCAGTCTGTAGTGTAGAAACCCAGGATGTCTATCACTCTTCTGGGTTAGATCTAGAATTTCTAGCATCAATTTGTTGTACATGAGACTTCTGGAGTATCCTGGGTTGGTTTGCATGATATTTGCATACCATTTGCATGTTCTGCCCCACCCATTCTCAGGGCACTATGAGAAGCCCCAAGAAGACCTTGCAAAGTAGCAATAATTTGGGCCTAGAGTTGCCTGTTGCCCCCAGAGGAGATCTCTGAATCTAAGTTTAGGACCCCAGCACAGAGGCAATAAAGTTGGTGGTTACCTGTGGTGCTGCCTCTGTTTGTCTGTCTGTCTTCCTGGCCACCTTGACGTGAAACTCAGGGAAGAAAGCTACAGTTGGTACCCAGCTGAAGCTGCCTCATGGGCAGAGGGAGCTTTTTCACCGCTCTCAGCTCAAGGCTGCACCCCAGACCCTGCCTCCTGAGCTCTGCCTGGGAAAGAGGACGGACAAGGTCCAAGCTCAGCTTTACCCTACAGAGTCTTCTCGGTGTTACAAAGAGCCTGCTTGACTGAATTCCTGAGTGCACCTATCTCATGCCAGAACCTGCCAAGATAGCCTGTCCTCACCACTGTCTCTTAACAGCATATTTAAGAGTCCTAGCAGCCATAACAGGGCAGGGGGACTCCTACAGGACAAGGCTGAGAAGTAACTAATGGGGATACCTTAAGTGATGCTCCACATGAAGGGGCATGGTACCCCAAGAGCACACAACGGATGGCACCTGTCTCACATGTGGGAACCACAAGTTCTGGGTGGCAGGAATGCTCAACTCCAGCTAACCAAAGGAAGCCAACCGAGGGATGCCGAGACCAGGAGGAAGGAAGAAGACTGGGGACAAAGCTGGGGAGGCAGGGCCCTTAAAGGAGCTTCATTCTGGAAGCTTTAGTAGGTGTGAAACCAAGGCTGGTGGCCAGGGTCTGAGTGCCTAACTGCCATATCCCTGCTGGGTGCTGGGGTGTGGCCAGAAAAGCATCTCTGCTGGCAGGAGTGCAGATCTGGCCTCCAGGCAGGGTCTTTTCTGTGGGTCTCCCTACTGGCTTCAGCAAAGGCCTGGGTGCCTTGGGGCCAGCACTTGAACCCAGCAGGCTCCAGAATGTGCTGCCAGTATCTGATCCACATGGGCCCTGGGACTCTTTGGAGAGGTTTGTTACACGCAGTGTGGTTTCAGTGTCCCCTTAGAGAGGGAGCCAGTCTGGGAGGAATAATCCCTGCTCTCAGTCCTGTGTTGCAGCCTCCCCGTTCCCCCCACCCCATAACAATAATAGACTCCCACAACTAAAGGCATGAGTTGCAGCAGACATGCTTGCAGTGGACAAGCCTTGGACTCCAAGAACAAAGGCAAAAAAAACATCACCGTCTGTGTGTTGTGTGTATTGGCCAGAGGGCAACCTCAGGTACTAATTTAATTTGTTTTGTTTTTAAAGACAATGTCTCAAAGACCTGGAACTTGCTGAGGCTTTTCTGGCTGACCAAGAAGCCCCAGGAATCCACCTGTCTCTACCTCCCTCCCACTGAGAGCTCAACCTCACCTGTTTTTTTTTTAAAATAAGGGTTCTGGGGACTGAACTCAGGTCTTCTATTTCCCAGTGCCCCTTGCTTTTTTTTTAATTTTTATTTATTTATTAAAGATTTCTGATTCTTCCCCGCCACTGCCTCCCATTCCCCCCCCCCCCCCCCC